GCGCTTGGATCAGCGCTTGAGAGCAGAAGCTAATGTTGGATTTGCGTCGACTGTTGTGGCGCTCGAAAGTTTTTTGGGCAGAGAATGGTGACGGACGAACCAGATATCTGGAAAAAAATATATGTATAAAAGTACGTCATAAATTTGACATATTATATGACAATAACATGATCGCGCGCTCATCGGCTGTGATACATACATAATGTCTCCTTCTTGCAGATTCAGGTCGCAGCTTGGGTTGATGATCACGTAAGAGAGGCTGTTCCTCTTTTCGCTGACGTCATCGTAATCGATCCCGGTGAGGTTCAAGGATTCCATACGTGAGCGGACCAGGTTAGCTATTTCAGCTCTTTCGATTTGTTGGATATGATTATCGCGGGCCTCGTCGGCCAAACTTGTAGAGTACTGTAAAATTTAGTCATTTTAAATACATTTTACTAATTAAATGTGTAATATATCTAGTTTTATTGAAGAAATTAATCATAGTGAATGCTTGGAAAAAACGTGTGAAATCACAAATGAAGTGTAATAATTAATAATGACGCCACGAGACAATACAAATGTTGAATGTCGGGCAGTGCTGCGCTGTGGTGTGCTGTACAACACAATTCGATTGGAATCTGTATTGCATTGTGACATCTGGGGACTTTATGAAGACGTGACGTATTTAACAATGAATGCTCGTTGTGTTAGCAATCAGCATGCATATTTGCATAAGGATGGCATTGGAATTAAATGTGTTCAATTATTCAATTGTTTATAATAATTAGGATATGTGGTTTTTATAAGAGTTTCAAATATAATATTTGTGTTAAGAGCAATCACTATGTTGATGTTCATATTTTAAATGATATAAGATTCTGGCTGATTGCAATATTGATATCGTTTAAAATCTACAGCTAAAATCTAAATCTATAACTAACTATATGTATTCTATATTCCAGTTTTAAAACTAATATTATTATGACTAGCTTCGGTCAATGTTGAGGCATGTTGTGTTACATTATAGCTACTATATACCTTTATACAATAATATATTTATGTTATACAAGTTTTTATTTGTATGCTACGTTGTGACTCATTTTTAAGTTTAAATTTTTTGTTTAAATTAGTTATTATGGTTATATTTAACTTACCAAGTTAACTGAAAGCTGATTTAGGAGCCAAAAATTGAAATTAATCGAAAAATAATTCAAATCAGGAATTTTGGGGTTCGCTTGTTGCGGTACAGTCAGCATCATTATTGTGGGTGATGCTGATGGTACCTCAGGGGGTCGGATTAGGGCTCAGGTGTGGGTTCCTTACCGCAGGCGTGGACTCGCCGTAGCATGCCCCCAGGCAGCCG